TATTAGCTAATCTCTATTTAATGAAAATTCACTATTGATAGAGCTAGTGGTAACTACAAAAATGATTTTATTTATTATACACACACACACGTATATATATAAACTTATATAATTAAAACAAATATTATATCATAAGGAAGAATAGCGTGAATTTTACACAGCATATCCAAATATTAGATGAAAAATAAATAATTGTAATATTGCGTAGGAAAACGTAGAAAAAAGATGCAACGCAGTTACAAAAAAGACACGAACCCTCTGGGCACAAACCATAGTGTAGATGGTTATGCAATGTGCCCTGGTTTTTGAGATACTGGCGGAAGTTAGACCCAAATTGCGTTGGGGTACACCATCTATCCAGTTTAGCCTCAGTTTCGCAGGCCTCACATTTTTAAAATAAAAAGAGAGAGAGAGAGTAGATGTGGGTGTTCTCGCCCACAACGTCCCATATCTTTATCAATTTTGTACAGATTTATCTAGTAAGTTTTAGATATTTGCTAATAGTCGAAGTTATCTCTACAAGAATATATATAAACTAAATAATTCAAAGTTAAAATTATTAGCAAAAAAATATAATCATAATTAATTTTAAAAATAATCATGTTAAACACTTAATCTCAGATATTATAAAATTTAGACTTAAGTTGAATAATTTAAATGATATAATTAATGAAGTACCAAAAAGGAAGTCATTGTATATAGTAATAACTTTTAAGCATAAAATTCTTAATGATTTACACATTTCTAAACTTTTCCATGATTCTGCAACACAATATAAATTTCCTTTAAAATATCTAAAACCTGTTATTAATTTTAAATATGAAATTCTAATAGGGCCTCTAATATATATATTTATAAAAAAATTAACCAATTTAAATAGAGATAATGTGCAGAATTTACCATGTGATTGTTACTTAAATTCCTCGGCAGACTCTGTTCACAAACATGTTATTACTGGTAACTTGGATATACTAAAATATAACTCTTTACGTAATATCTTGGAGAAAGGTGGCAAATATATAATAGCTACAAAATGTAGAAGAATAGATATATATATTAAAATTCATAAAGATAAACATAGATAATTATATTATCAAAATTAATTATTCTACACATTGTCCTTCAAATTGGTTTCTGGAACGGAGATATTATGTGATTAATAGAATTAAAGATAAATTAGCTTATATTAGTTTGGAAAAAAATATCCAATTAGACATAACATTTGTTTCAGTTTAAGACTAAAATCAGTAAAATAGAAGAAAAATATATCATCGTGCCTATCGATAAAGCCAACTGTTATTTTGGTTTTATCTGTAAACGTTGTTATGCACAACTTGTAACTAATGAAATAAATACTACACAAACATTTCAATTACACAATACGTAAAAATATGTTATTATTAACAATTTGTTGAAAGTTATAAAAAAAAGTTTATGCTAAAGCAAATCCATATTCAGAATTACCGTATCTATATGGCGTTCCTAAACTACAAGAATATCCCATTAAATTTCGTTTTATTTCTAGTTCAGTAAAAACTGTATTGAAACAACCTGCAGTTTTATTAAATAAATTACTGAATCAGTAATTTCTTAAAGTACAACAAAACTCAAATAGTAAACATGATTTCTGGATAATTAAAAATAATGAACCTATCTTAAAAACGTTAGAAAAGTTAAATACAAAAACAACCAGCAGATACAATACAAACTTATGATTTTACTACTTTATTTACAACTATACCAGCTAACGATTTGGTAATGGCGGTTAATTTATTAATCGACCAATTTATAGATATACCTATAAAGATAGAAAAACAAACTATTGCTGCTAAAAATTTCAAAAATATGTTAAGTTTTTGCATTTTTAACTATATTCATTTTGATAATCATATTTATAAACAAATAGTAGGTATACCAATGGATGCTAATTAATCAAGCAGTGTTGCTAATTTATATCTTTACTATTATAAAAATATATTTATAAATAATTTTTCAAATCCGGAATTATTTTCCCTAACTTATAGATATATTGATGATTTAATTAGCATCAATAATCCATTAATAGGTAATTATATCAGTAATACATATCCTACAGTTCTACAAATCGAAAAAAAACTCTATATCATATGCCGAAATACTATATTTAGATTTAGATCTTAATACAATGAATAATTATTGTGATATTAATATTTATGATAAAAGATACGATTTACATTTCAAATTTTTGGAGTCTCTTGCCAAACAATAATGTACCAAATAATGCCATACAGAGCATCATACATTCACTGCTAGTCAGGTGTTGAAGAATTTGTAACAATGAATAGTTCCTAATTTCCAACATTAATTTATTATTGAATAAACTTATTTTTAATGGATTTAATAAGATAACTCAAATTAAATATTTTGAATTATTTTGTAATAAGTATACAAAATATGTATGTAAATTTAGAAATAGCAGTATAAACGAAATCATAATACACATAATAAGTAATATTTTCTAATGTTCTAATTTTCTAATTATTGGAATTTCTTATTTGGACTGTCTCTCGTATACTGTATCAATATAAGACCTGCTAATTGTTGTAGAACCTTCGAAGATCTTGACAGTAGCATGGATGGGAGCTATACTAACAATTTAGG